GCGCTCCTGGAGACGGCAGCGGTGTGGTGGTGCAGTACGTGCTGCGCCACGAGGCGCCGCCGCACTGCGCGCGCCGCCTCGCTGCGGCCTGGCGTGGTACAGAAGCTCTGCTGCTGTATCTGGACCGATGCGCAGGCGGCCGCTGGCGCTGGCGGCGCTGGCTGCCGCTGCTGCTCGGCGCCTTCGCCCCTGCCGACGCCTCTGGCGCGCCCTGCGCCCTTCACGGCCCCTGCGCACCACCGCGCCACCGCAAGGACCAGTTGAGCGCTGGCCGCAACGAAAAGTTGTAGGGCCCATTCACATGCAAAACACGAACATAAGCATAACGCATAGACGTATAAATATTAACGTAAGTGATAGACTGAAGTATCACCAATGTCTAACATAAACGGAAAAACAAAATAGAGTTTTGCGAGACATTTCTAGTTTCTATTGGTGGCATGGTAAGAATCGACTGTGCTGTCCATGCCCCTGCACATGGCATTTGTGAATGAGACCAGTTGTGGGCGTAGTCCTGACTTTTCATGTTAACGTCATGCTTATGTCGGCGGTGAAGGACCTTTTACACTGAGGCGGCCTCCGCACATTCGGTGTTCGATGATTAGCGAGGGGCCGCTTGCCGAACCCCGGTGGAGTGGATTTAGTTGCTCGCTATTTTGCGAGCGGCGAACATCCGCGTGCCTTATCCTATTCACCGCGCTCGTCAGTCTTCTGGACCCATCAACAGGAAGAAAACATTTGCCGAACACCTTCAGCTACTCGCAATTGGACAAGCAGAAGCCACTATTCGCGTGAATGCCGAAGAGTAGGAGCACCTTTACACCAACTCCAAGTTATTCAGTTGGCGTTGCAAACAAAATTTCAAATGGCGAATTTATTTTCGCTTGCCCTGTTCACTTTATACTTGTTCATTTCATATTCACTTCGTCATTAATTGCCACATCACAGTTTCCTCCCACGGTCATTTCGCAATACATTTTTGTTTCTACAACTCCCATACTCAATGACGTACGATCACTTGGACATCCTACGGAGAGAATTCATTCAACAGAAAAACACTGCCGATAGCCAGAATCAGAGATATAGTGTGCTGATAATTGTGAAAAGAAAACACCTCTTCTTTTACTTGTCAAGGATTGATAACCATAAAATTAGCTATTGAACTTCAGTTCTTCATTGTAATAATTCTTGTATTCATCAAAGATTGAGTTATGAACTAAATTTAGTTTATTCATAGTGATACATCTATTTATTTTAATTACTGTATTGAAAGTGTGTGTGTGATTGCAATATGCTCAGCGTAATCAGAGCGCAGGTCTAATGTAAGATATTTGTTAAAATACACAAAGTTCTTTATTAATGATTATGTATTTTTACACCTTAGCTTCTGTAAAATCATACTGGCTAGCAGTTTCACAATTGAGATTCCGCTCATTAAATTCGTAAAGCAACTTTTTTTGTTATACAAACTCCGTGCGTAAACGAAGTTTTAGCATGCTATAATTTCCTTTATACATTAGCTTGATGGTAACGTTTTCAGTTAAGGCAGTCAATCTCAATCGCTAATCAAAACTAGGAGCGGGTCAGAGTGAAGGAAAACCACAAAGCCGACCACCAGTTTTTGTAAAAAAAGGCAAAAAATAGGCAGCACATTCAAGTTAGGCAACTACTTTTGTAATTTAGTTTCAAAAAATAAACTAATGGTTACAAACCCTAATCCTAATATACTCGTACATGGTTACTATAGGTAACATCGCTCTCTCAGACTTGCGATTTTACTATACACAGCGCGTAAGAAGAACTTCTCTAAGAACAAAAGTTAATTGCTAGTGAAAATAGGCAAACACATCGTTGCATCAAGGCGAATTTTTCGGCAGAAAAAATTTTGATTACAGGGACAAGGTAACGAAAAAATGGTTGAATTCAGTTGCTAAATTTATTAAAAAAAATCCTATAACACATGTGTAGCTAGAAATTCATGTTTTATGGCGTCCTTGATTCTGAAAAATAGAGCCCTCTTACTACCGTCCGTCCTCCCTCCGCTCCCTCCCTTAGGTTCACTCCCTCCCTTACCTCCCACTCTCCCTCCGCCCTCCTTCCGTTCCCTACCGTCCGTCCGTCCCTCCGTCCGTTCCCTCCCTCCCTCCTCCGTCCCTCCTTCCCGTCCCTCCGTCCCTCCCTCCGTCCCTCCGTCCCTTCCCTCCGTCCGTCCGTCCCTCCGTCCCTCCGTTCCCTCCTGTCCACTCCGTCCTCCGTCCCTCCGATTCCCTCCGTCCGCTCCGTCCGCCCTCCGTCAAACGCGTGCGCCTCCGTCCCTCCGGCCTCCCCTCCGTCCCCTCCGTCCCTCCTCCGTTCCGTCCCGCCCTCCGTGCGCGGTCCCTCCCTCGTTCCGTCCTCGTCATCGCTCTCTCTCCGTCCCTCCCTCCGCTCGCGTCCCTCCCTCCCTCCGCTCCCTCCCTCCCTCACCGTCCCTCCCGTCCGTCCGTCCCTCCCATCCCGTCTCGGTGACACTCATACAGTGCCTCTCCTGTGTCTCTCTCTCTCTCCTCATGACCTCACTGCAGTGCGACGCGTTCCC